CAAAACTATGATTTAATACATGTGGAATTATATACTGTATATTATATACATATTATATATAGGACACAGTTTAAAAACCTTTTATTCCTACCTTGTCTTGTTTTTCTGTTTTATATAAAACAATTCAAAAARCTTTATGACGGTATCTTACCAGCAATAAAAGTTATTTCCAGAATAATGCCGAGCAGATGAAAGGAGGTTGCCATCATCGGTCCTTCGATCAAATGAAAACAAATAAATAAACTAATAAACTAATCGACTACCAAGGTTTCATGGTCGACTTTGACAAGTTTGAGAGTCATGAGAACAGTGGAGGAATGTGGGTCAGCGCTCCGAGCAGACACTGACTCACTCAGAACTGCTGCTGAACACAAAGGAAGAAGGAGGGTCTCAGTCAGGTTCCCTCAGCTCTGACCCACGTATGAGAAGAGACTAATTATCATATTTTTTAAATGATTGTGTCTGCTTATGTTACGACCAGTAATTCCAAACTTCTCATAATGCCTGACAATTCTCCTGCTTTAATGCTTGTTTGCAGGAACACAACACACTACTGTCTGAGAGGTGCTGCCAGTCTGTATGGAACACTGAAGTGGTCACAWTAATTAATTAAATTAATAAAACATTAAGTAAAGTTTTTGTTATTATTCATGAACGTTTGTTATGGAAATCTTATATAAACCACATAAAAAAGGTAACATATCCAAAACAATTGCAGTGATAAATAAGGTAAAGGATTGTTTAATAAGTGTTGTATAATTCAATAATTTTTCCACGTTTAATTTACTGTGTTGAAATCTGGGGTAAAGCTTGCAAAACAATTACAAATCTGATTTTTGTTTTACAAAAAAGAGCCGTAAGAATTATCACGAGAAAAGATTACAACCATCCAGCTAATACATTATTTTGTAAACTGAAAATTTAGAAACTCTATGATTTGATTGACTATAATACTTTACTGTTTATGTACAAGTTTCACAGAAACATTGTTATGAATTGGAAAAAATGAACCCAGGGTGCAGGCAGCTTCAAAAAGGAAAAAAATAAAGATTTATTAAACAAAAATCATTGACAGGGCAGCTCAAAAACTCACTTGTAGCAAGGCAAGGCAACAAACACAGGCTGTGAACAGCACAATGATCAGACAGGGGCGTGAAGACAAAACACAGAATATAAAGGTGAGACTAACGAGCACAAACAGGAAACACCTGGGGGAGAAACATGAGGAGCAGGTGAGAGTGGGCGGGGCTGGAGCAAAGGCAGACAGGAGGAAGAAAACTAGAATAAAACATTAACACAGACACAAATCACAACATAGCCCCCCCAATAAGGGACGGCTCCTGACGCCCCAAAAACAAAAGTTCAGGAGGATGACCTGGAGACCCCCCCATTCCACATCCGACGAGGCCACAGGAGCTGAGCAGAGCCAGAGGGAGGAGGCAGGAGCAGACGTGGAGCAGAGGGAGGAGGCAGGAGCAGA